GACCCCACCTGGAGTGCTGCATCCAGTTCTGGGGCCCCCAACACAAGAACATCAACCTGTTGGAGCAAGGAGGCCCACCAAAATGATTAGTGGGACAGAGCACCTCTCCTATGAAAGAAGGCCTAATTGGGATTGTTCAGCCTGGAAAAGAGAAGGCTTTGGGGTGACCTTATTGTGGCCTTCCAACATCTGAAGGGAGCCTACATGGAAGACGGAGAGGACTTTTTACAAAGGCATGTAGTGACAGAACAACAGGGAATGGCTTAAACTGAAGGAGAGTAGGTTTCAATCAGATATGAGGAAAAAATTCTTTACTGTGAGGGTGGTGAGGCACTGGAACAGGTTGCCCAGAAAAATTGTGGGTGCCCCATGCCTGAAAGTGTTTAAGGTCAGGTTGGATGGGGCTTTGAGCAACCTGGTCTAGTGGAATGTGGCCCTGCCTATGGCAGGTGTCTTCGAACTATATGATCTTAAGGGTCCCTTTCAATCCAGGCCATTCTATGATATTTTAACAGTGCTTTTAATAGTGCTCTCACAAATTACAGTAATTATAAATTACATATTGATTCATATTCACTGACCTCAAGACAAAACAGCTGGGGATTTTCGTACAGTCTTTCTGTAACATATGCAGTCATGCCCTAAGGTAGATTCTTCAGCTGTTCATATTTCCACCTTTTGGGACATTTTCTCCGGGGAATGAAAAGCTGTCTGAGAAATCCAAGTTCTTCCCAATCCTATTCATTTTGTCCATATAAGATTCAAGCCATCCAAAGGAATATCTCCTCTATTGATGAATAAGGAAGCTAGGGCAATCAGTTTGCTAAGTTAGACATGCCAGTTGAGTACCTAAAGTTAAACGAATCCAAGCAAAGCGTCTTTGAGTCAGGCACTTTATGTCCAACCCTTGAGACATCTGAGTTCCTTTACACTGTCCACAGTGGTTATGCTAATTGCATGGATATTTAAATACAGTACTCAGAATAAAATGAGTTGTAAAAAAAGTTTTCAGAGAAATAGCAAACACATCCCACTAACACAATGATACTGCAGTGCTGTTAAGAAGAGGTAAACCGAGGCCCAGAAACCCAAAAATCTTCATACAAATGGCTCATTTATGCACCACACATGAAGCTTTTGTAGCCTTTCATAATTGGAGCCTTATAAAGTTCCCCAGTTCCAGTACATAAAGCATTCTGGAAAAGAGATTTTGTGGCCCTTTAATAAAAACTCTGGAAGGGAAACTGGAAGATTATGAACGTATTGGATAACCTTGCCAGCTCAGACAAAAAGACTGCTTTGCTCAGTATTCTCTCCAACAGCAGCCACAAACAGATGTTCAGGAAAGAATAAGACCAGGGAAGTACAAATAGCACTCACTTGAGTATTTCCTAGCTTCTGTTTTCAAGCCATGGGATTTTCTCCCATGGAGCACCTCTCCAAGTACTTGTCCATGTCTCTCTGGACTTTTATAATCTTCTTGCATCTACCATCTCTTTTGATAAGGAGTTGCACAAATCTACCACCTGCTCCACTAACAGTGATCTTTTTGTGTTCTTTGGACCTGCCACCTGCTAACGACACTGGGTGACTCTCCACTCTTGACTGGAAAAGGCAGTCAGCCCTCACACTTCAAATCATTCTCAACTTAAGAGTCACAACTGTCCACATGTAAAGAGTGCTTGATTACCTTATCGTTCCCCTCGTGTGAGTTTTACTCTGACCTTTGAAGACTCCATTTTGATGTAGGTTTTCGGCTTGGTTTTCTTTTTTCCTTTTAAATTTCTAAGCTGTGTGCACTTCAAAAGAGCAACTGGTCAGGACTCCAGAGGGAAAAATTCAAGACTATTCCAGCCTTGAAGATCCTCATAAGAAAAAGCTCTATGCATACAAAGCATTTTTTGTGTATTGCAAACTGGATTTAAAATAATTATGTGATATAAATACAGAAATATTTAATATTCCCCAGCCATAGGAACACAATTAAAAACCCTTCTGCATATCTTTTTAGATTAAATAAAACCCAATACTTTATCTCCCCATCATTTTAACTAGTGTTTATAATGATATTATAGTCTTGGGAAAATCTAGGTTTTTTAAAAGACCTGACACATTTTTTAGACATTAAATTCATATAAAAATTATCAGTTTGAAACCCTACACAAGCACCTTCCAGTTCAGAGTATGATGTGGGGGGGAAAAAAGCACAGACCTACAAGCTAAGTAGAACTTTTAACTGTGGAAATTGGTGATTCAATTCCCAATTCACATTCATTAGCAGACTTCACATCAATTGGTAAACACATCTATTGTTCCAGGACATTCCGAAGCCAGTACAGGCCATATAAGATCTAAAAAATCTTGGCCACAGCCATCTGACTGCATGTAAGCACAGTATGAAAGTCTAGTCAAAAACAGTCAGGAGTCAAGAGTGCCAGGAGAAAGCGGTTCTTGTAGAGGACATTAGCCAATTTATTACAAAATCAGATGAGGAGCACTAGTTTCAAGTGCCAAGGATCCTTGGAAATGGACCTCAATGAATAAGAAGGGAACAAATTAACATAGACCTCTCTGATATAGCAATACATCTGAGGAGCCTAAATGTCCTCAGATACTCCTACTGCAGAGTTCAAATGGACCACATAGATGACCAAGTGCTTTGCCAAGGTTTGTAGGTCCCTTTTCCAGGGAGGATCACCTGTGGTTGCAACTCTAACACACATCCCGCAGCATTACGCCACTGATGCTAACAGTGTGACGCTCAGTAGTTAGTACAGCACCTGCATAGTAAACTGGCCAGTATTTCAACAACAGAATTATTTTGTAAACATAAATTGTGCTTTCAAACAAAATTATTATATTTGCTTAAGTTCAGTTTTGCTAGAGCTGAACAATAGATGAAACAATTTTTTTTAAAACATCTATGTTTGAAATGGAATATTTTCTACAAAACTGATGCTGACATTAAAAAGCTTTCTGAAGTACATTCTCCATTTTTCACTCCCACTTTCACATTTGGAAGTGAAATGAAAAACTCCTAAAATGTCCCACAAAAACATTATCATTTTTCTTAAAACCTTAATAAAGTATTCAATCCTTTGCAGAAGTGACAGCAGTGAATCAGGTGAGTGCCCTAAGCCTGACGAGCCCAGGTGCATTTTCAGAATCAACATATCTTCCTATGCACATGGTTTTTCCACTGCTGTCGCTAATGTTGTTTTGACTTTTCATTTAGAAAATTCTTTAACACTGCTGCAAAATCCCTATCATAATAGACTACAGTGTCACCATTTTTAGTCCTTCTATTCACCCATCAGACTATTTTTTCTACCCTTCCATTTTCCCATTTAAAAAAAATAAAAATTCAGTACTCTTTCAGGTTAAAGACAACAGCACATGCTTAAATATAACAATCAGTGATTGGACGAACTGGGAACAAATATAGCTGTATTCATATGCAAAAAAAATTTCAAAAATATTTACATCACTGAGAGAGTTTTGAAACCTTTCTTCCTATATTTACAATAAATAAATTTAACCTTATTGTCGTACACAAAACTTTTGAAATTATTCTCTATAGTATCACTACAGAATAGCTAAAGTTTTCAAGCAGTATTTCCTATTAACAATTTCACTACAAATATTTCATGAAAAAATACAACTTTACTTGTGACTGTGCCTTCTGTTTTTTTCCAAAAAGATCTAAACTGGAACACACTCATTTCCAATCAAATATTTTTAAAAGATAATGTCACAGCATAATGACAATGAATACAGCATGCTGAGTTTAAAGACCATATGTTGCAATTTTGAAAGATACTCTGAAGCAGATATAGTCACTACTGTCTGCTGCTAGCTGGCATCCTCAATAAACTACCTGAAGTAATGATATTTGGATGTTTTGATGGAACTAGATGATCTTTAAGGTCCCTTCCAATGCATTCTGTTTCATCTTTTATATTCATCTTTTATATTATAATCAAGTTCTTGATTATTTTTCCCTGCTAAACTTTTGGCCCCTGTAAGCCTATAACTTCCTTTACAAATCATCATTACATACCTGAAGTCATGTATGAAAGCATACACAGAAAGTTTTTGCATGCAATACCCTCATCTAACAACATCAATTACTTTATCCATCTCCTACACCATTAGCTGAAAGTCTAATAAAAGCTACTCAGCAGGCAAGAGATTTAATGAAATAAACCCCAAGTTCCTGGGAGGAACCTGTGGTTCCAACTCTAACACTTCTGATCAAATAGAAGCTCTCTTTCTGCTGCTGAGCAATAGATTTTTCTGGATCTTGATCAAACATACTCCAGAGGAGGGAGGGTGTAATAATATGGTGTAAGGTATTTAAGTGTGTAGGAGAAAAACTGATTGTGGGAAAAGGGAAGATGAGAAGAAATTATTTTTAAAATGTAATAGAAATTTCTGGGGTCACAGCAAAACAAGTTCACAGCAATTCTTTCAATAATCAACAAGACAATTAAGCTTGTCTTCTAATCATCATTAATAAACCACAAAAGCCATAAAAAAACCAACAAAAAAACCCAGTCTTGCACTGTTACAGGTTCCCAGTCTCCACAAATATTTTCACTTCTGTTCCCCATCTAAGGCTGAGGCACCAAGATACAATATTGCAGAACAAATATCTCCCAGTGGCTATCTAATGGAAGTAAGGACCAAAATAGACACTATCAAAAAAAACCAAACAAAAATCCCCACCAACCCACATAACAGTGAAAGGTCTCAAGTTCTCTACCCCTTGTCTAGAAACATAAGTACCGTCTGCTTCGTGATCTTCTCAGTTCCAAGATGGAGAAGGAAAAATTTGGCTTCCATTCCTCTGCAAGGAAAAATTCCTTATTGATTCTTCTAAATTAACCCAAATATTTCTTACCTTGAAATGTAATACATTACAGTCTTAAAATTGCTTTAAAACAGCTGACTTAATCTCTCATTTCTGGACAAACTTCACATTCTGAAGAAAATCTTACCTAATTTTGGCAGGGAGTAGGGCACTTTAAAATAATCTTCATAAAACTCAATGAGACTCCTTGTAATATTTAGAGCATAGTCCCCCGATCCTCTTCTGATTGCATCAGGCCTTGCATACAACCGTACCTGTTAAAAAACAAAGCAAAAGACCAATCATTTCAGCATCTGCCTTTTAAATCTATCATATCTGCAGAAATGAATTATCCTAAGGTTGCTGTGACATGGTAGGATTATTACCTTCAAGCCAAATATGACTGTCGTACATTTCTCAAAACATGTCATAGCTGAAAACCAGGACTACCACAATTAAAGTTACACAGTTTAGAAGTCACAACTTCTTAATTGCCGGTGTTGCCAAATAAAAAACTTAACACTCCTTGCATCAAAATAAATATTTGAAGAAAACATGTGTTTGCTAGAGATATGATGGGAGAGTGGATTAGTATAATGGTTCTCTGCCTACACTGAATGTAGGCAGAATGCAGTGACTCAGTAGGAGAGAAGTTCATGGTTTGTTAAAGGCACATTATATCAAGCCCTGAAAATATTAGTAGACTGTGAAGAAAAGAAAATAATCATTCTCTTTTCTCTGGCAGTGACACAGTTACCCTCGATGAGCTTTGGGAAGACTGCAAAAACAACCATTTATAAGCTCATTCATGTACACAAACAATTAACATTCCTGAAACCTCCTTGACTGCTTCAGGCCTCTGTTTTCAGAAAGCAGTAAATCAAAGCTGTTTATACACGCTACAGACCTCTCTGTTCAGTATAAAACAGCTCACACATTTGACTACCTGGAGTGAACCAACTGAAAAGAACTCACCTTCATAATTCTGCATTCAAGTCTGACCCTGATTAAGAAGGTAGCAGAAAGCACTTCTTGGTTTTTCCCTCTTCCCTGTTCTTACAGACCTTAATGCTTCCTTAGTGTAAACACAACATACAGCCAAGAACTGTTAACCAAGAAAGGGACAGAAAGGAGAGCCACTTTTCACTCTCCCTCCTCATTCACCTGATGAAAGTAGTGTGTGCTTTGTCTCTAATAACTGGCAGAAGGTCTCTCCCTGCAGTACATAACGACTTGACACAAATGAGACTCTACTAAATGTCAGTCCTAATACTTTCTGCAGTAAAATTAAATCCCAGCCAGGGTTCTGAGGAAAGCAGTAGGGCAGAAATCAGAAAATAGTAATGGAAACATGAGGGAGAAATGTCAGCTTTGGAATGTTTCTAAACACTATTATGGACCAAGAAAAGCCAATGCAATTTTTTGCTTCAGTGAAAGCATTACCAAGTATTGCTTTACTACTGAAAGTAACCAGTTCAGTTATCCACGTGGAAACCAGATATCAAATACTGTACCTATCAATTCTGTTGTAACCCGCTATCTCTTTGTTTTCAGTATGCAGACACATTATTTGCTTCATTACAGTGCCCATCTTTAATCTTTGTGTTGTATTAGACTCAGTGCACCATCAACCATACTTGTAATGTAAAACAGGTAACGATGTAACCTAATGAGATATGTAATAAAGCAGACTTCCTATAATCACCACCTGAAAGCATATAAACCATTATCTGAATCCCTCCAAGTCACTGTTTTTGTTCATTGCTTCCTTTCAAAGTTAACAGTAGCATGTACATTAAATGTTCCCTTATCTGCTAAATTAAATATATTTTTTAACAAAATAGATATTAACCACAGAGATGCTAATCCAAATGTCTCAAAACCTTTAGTTTGTTGAAGGATGTTAAGAATCACAATTAGATTTGTGATGAACACTGTTTTGTATCATTAAACCTTTATAGATAATTTTGCATAATTGCTTTACTGGCACAGCTGACTGTACCAGCAAACTAGGAAAAAAAAGAGTCAGCCAACCAAGTATGCAAAAAATCATTCAATTTGACAGTGGCCAAATGCGTCCATAATAATAAATATGACAACTGAAGAGAAGAAAATAATAGGTAGATACAAGAAAAATCAAGGTTCAATTTATTGCATTACAATGTGTGTCTTTTGGCAAATGCAGAAAAGGTATTTAATAGTGTCTGAGATAGAGCCAAGGTACCAAAGCTCAAAAACCACAATGCTGCAAACTTTCATTTGTCTCCTGCCTAACACTAAATACAGTTTTATTTTGCCCATAAAGTTTCCCTCTGTCTCTCTGCCTGCCCAGAACAGCTCTGGACTACCAGGGCCCCATGGCTCACACCAAGGTCACCCCCAAGCTGGAATACACTTCAGAAATTACCTGTGCCTTTGTCCAGGTCTCTCAGGGATTTTGAGGCAACAGATATTGCCAAAGCAGCCAGATATCTTCAAATGTTGGGTCTGCTTCTGCTTTTCACCCAACAACCACTGAACATGAAACATATGGAGGAACCTTAGACACACCATCACAGGCCTATCCCTGGCCTCAGAAAATTCCCTGTTGGTTAGCAGAGGGCAGGGACAGAGGGCTACCACAGGGGACAATCTGGACACTCTGCCTGCCCAGTTAGCTGTTTTGGATGACACTTTCTGAGGTATCATTCACAACACAAGGAGCTTGGTCCAGAGTCTAAAGTCTGGCACCTATAAGCTCGAAATTGAAATCCACTAACTTTCACACACTGATGTCTTTTAATGTGTATGGGCTTACTTTGACCATAAGATATCTTACTGCCAAATCCATCAAACAGGGACTATATTAGCTTATAAGATTCTGAGTGTAAAGTAATAAAGACTGTAAAGTCTTCATATACTGCTCCAAAGAGGAGCTTAAGTAAATAAAACAGAATGAAGATTAAGATATGAGATTTGTTTAGAATAAATTGTTTGCTGGTTTAGTATTTTCATTTCAAAAGACAGGTAGGTTGTGTTGCTTTGTTTAGAATAAATTGCTTGCTGGCGTAGTATTTTCATTTCAAAAGGCAGGTAGGTTGTGTTGCTTTAAAACTGTGTTGGACTGAACAATAATGCCTAATTATTATATACTTTCCCACAGGCTAGTTGATCACTATACTAAGAATTCTATTTTACAATAATTTAAATAAGAGAAAAAAACAAAATCTTCTGCAGGGTCAGGCCTAAATATAATAAATAAAAGCACTGCATGTTCTACAAAAGATAAATAGCTTTCTTGTTTAGGTGCACAATTCATCACTCACTGCAATGGCACCTACTACCCTGCAAATATCAGTGATGCTCTTTTTCATAATCTTTGCAAGATTAGGTTAGACTATAATTTTCACATAAGAAAGTAAACAAAGAGAGACTAATACTAATTCTGGGTGCCAATCTGGACACCTCTCAATGTCAAGTATACTTAACAGTTTTGTTCCACATACTTAAAGCACTGTTCCAATTATATCTTACTGCAGTGGTGAACACTTTATACAGCTTTGAGTCTGGCCACAAGTGCCATAGTTTGGGCATTAAGAAAATGAGTAACACATGATTAATGACTAAATGAGACTGTGTCAGTTTATGTGATTTACTTGGCATCCCATAGCAACTCAGGTGGCAGTGGCAGAGAGGCAGAGAGGGAATTCAAAGCAGGCATTCAGCCTCACTGCCACCTTACAACCTGCACCATGCACCCTCCGTATTTGGGAATTAATAAGGTAGGGACTCTTCAGACAACACGCATATTCACAGCATACTGGTGGTATTCTGATGCAGCATAGTTCCCTGTGTGCCTCAATGACAAAAATATCAGAAAAATATTATGAGGAATCATTTTCATAATGACACTGTCACAAAACCTAAGAATATAACTAAGTTCACACAATTAACCTAAATTCTGGAGGTTTTTCTTAGCTCCTTTATACCTACATTTGCAACCACTACCAATTTCTCAACAGAAGTTCTGATTACTAAGAAAAAGAAATACAGGTTCTTTCGTTTCTCTCTCAAATGGAACCAGGCTGACCATCTCCTTCCGACCACAAATTTGAGCAAGCAGGTTTGTACCTTCAGCCCTACAACCCAGACCTCCCTGTTATAAGACACAGCTGTAAATAACTCTAGAAGTTACTAGAGATCCCAAATGAAATCGCTGCAATGTATATTTTCTCATTCTTTTCTGAAGTGGGCAAAAATATGAGTTGTTTCCTCTTGTTTGCCTTCCAGAAGCCCTCAAGCAGTTTCACAAGAACTTTAAATAAAGACAATACTCAACCACGCTCAGATAATATCTCGAAAAAAATCATCCTGAAAGATTACTTCAAAAATATTAGCAATCTAATTCAAGTTCTTGGAATTATTTTGGCACCACTATCAGAAAAAATACTAAAACATTCCTGAAATTTGTATGCTAAATTCCATGTATTTTATAAGTGATCAATAGCCTATTTCTCTATAGTTAGTCAAAAGTATTTGCTGTATAAAACAGTGTACTTTTACAAACAATTTGTACATTTTGCCACATTTTCTGTAGTCTTTTTTAATATTTCAGCATTTGTTACATAAGTCAAAGAAATTTTAAAAATATTTGTAACTCTAGGTTGCCAGAAGAGATGAACGTGATTGTAAAATGAAAACTGTTTCCCGAAGTGAGGGACCGTAGCGATATATGCTAAGAAATGTGCAACATATGTAAAACCTAACTGAAGTCAGGTTAATAACTACAGTGCATGAGAAAAACCTTCCTGTCTACAGCAGGTAAAAATTATCCATCAAAAAGAAAGTTAGCACTTAAAAAGAAAAGTGCTTTCCTTGTCTTATTACTTCAGAATGCTTCAAAAAAAATATGAATTAGTAACTATATACAAGATATAATGGGTAAAATTCTGAAAAGTACAATTGTAGATAGCAACAAACATCTTCATTTCTGGAGAATAGTATATTCACTAAAAATGTTTCTACTGTACCAAAGACTAGTGATAATTTCAGCACATAATAAACAGAGGAATGGGTTCAAAAGAAGTAAAACTCTTCTGTTTTGACATGTTAAAATCACTACTTTTTCGTTTACCTTTTTTTTGGCATTAAAATTTAAGTGTGTGAAAAACAGTATAGAATGAAAGGGATGAAGAATGGTGTAGTGGGTTGACCTTGCCTGGATGCCACGGCCACCAACCCACCGTATCACTCTTCTTCCCAGTCAGACAGGGGAGAGAGAACAAGATGGAAAATG